GATAAGCGCCTGGCGCTTTTAATTGGCGTGTGGCGCTTATATCCCCTGCTCGATTATAAGCGCACCCCCTGAAAAAACTTGTTTTATCATACGCGCACGTAAACTTTAAATTTTGAAATGTGTTCAAAACGCTGTAACGATTTTTGCTTTAGCAGGCGGATGTGTTGCAGATTCAGTTCCTTTCACATTCGGACCCTGCACTGGATGCGGGTCCAGTTAGCAGGAGCTGTCAGGAGCTGTCAGAAGCTGGATGTGAGTCAGATTGGGTGTATCTCCCTGCGCGCGCGAGAATTTCACAGACGACCCCATGTAACTTCGACTCGATTGAAAAGGCAAGCACGAGATCTACTGTTTGGTGTTAAAAAATATAAAAAAAAAAGGTACTGTCATTTTATAAACGCCAGCGCTTATAAATTTACTCGATTTTAAGCCCACCCCCCTAAAAAATCTGCTTTATTATTGCCCCCCATGGGGGTATATCCGGAGTATGACGGTATAGCATTACACCCCCTCCCATTTAACGACCCGGGGGTCTATAATTTTGGGGGGTCCATTATCCGGGTAATTACCGTATTCCCCCGGATAGAAGACCTCCCCAAAATACAACACCCGCGGGTAACTAATTGTCAGTAGAGCTGCACTGTGAGATCCCCGATCGATCCTAGGGGGGGTTACAGGCGCGTTTGCCTGGGGGGTTATGGGCGCACTGACCCGCTACTTAACAAGCCCTTTTATCCCAATGGTCTAGTGGTTGGGATTCTGACATGGTATCAGAGGGGTCTCGGGTTCGAATCCCGGTGTATGCACATGTAGGCCGTTGCCACTGTGCTCAGTCCTGGGCCTCCCAGTGTGGGGGGGTGTCAGTAGAGCTGCACTGTGAGATCCCCGATCGATCCTAGGGGGGGTTACAGGCGCGTTTGCCTGGGGGGTTATGGGCGCACTGACCCGCTACTTAACAAGCCCTTTTATCCCAATGGTCTAGTGGTTGGGATTCTGACACTAATATGGGGGGGTCTTTTATTAAACCTCGATTTCGTTATACCCCCCCTTTGGGGGGTGATCAATATAAGACCCCCCCCCCCCCCCCCCCCCTTTCCCCTATAGGGGGGTTTTCCATGTACTTTACCTTTGTTTCATTTGAAACCGAAACATTTTATAGTGCGAATTTGGCTTTCGGGCGTGAATTCCCGTGTCAGAGGGTTGATTTGCTGCGTCAGGGGGCGAGTTTGCCGCGTCAGGGGTGTCAGGTGGCAAAATTGCTGTGTGAGGGGGCGAAATTGTTGTGTTAGAGGGGCGAATTTTACAGTGACGGGCGAATTTGTTGTGACTGGTCAAGCTATCAACTTTCGCTGGCCTGGTGCTCACCAAAAGCAAACCCACAACTTTAGTATTATTTGTCGTGTTGAAAACACTAAAACAAAATATGCCATATGAAAAGACCCTGGTGTTATGATTTTTTTTTCTTTGTTAAGACCCCCCCCCCCCTTTTTTCTAGGGATTTAGCATAAGACCCTAAGGTCTTATATCCGGGGGAATACGGTACGGTACAACCCCAATTTTCCGACTTGCACGTTCGGTCGACATCCACGATGCTGAGGTGTCAGAGGTCAACTCGTGATCCCCGATTGATCATAGGGAAGGGTTACAGGCACGTTGGCCTGGGGGGTTATGGACGCACTCATCCGCTACACAAACAAGCCATTTTATCCCAGTGGTTAGTGGCTGAGATTCTGACACGGTATCAGAGCTAAGGTCTCAGGTTCGAATCCCAGTGTGTGCACTTCGGGTATCCAAGTGCGGGGGGGTGTCAGAGGTGTCAGAATATCATGTTTCTCTAGTCTGCAGTGGGGTACTCAATAGTGAGTACAACCCTGTTAGGGTTTCCTATATGTACTCCATTGCTTTCTAGTGCATTCATTCTCTCGTTCATTCTCACATGGTATAGAGCGATTTCGACCCTTGGGCCCACCACTAAAATATTTTTTTTCCTACCCGAGGCGCACGTCGCGCCTGCCCTTAACGGCCCTTCGCGGCCCCTCGTTAGGCCCCTTCGCGGCCCCTCGTACGGCCCCCTTCGCGGCCCCTCATTAGGCCCCTTCGCGGCCCCCCTCGTAAGGCCCCCTTTCGCGGCCCCCCCCCTCGTAAGGCCCCTTCGCGGCCCCTAGTAAGGCCCTTCGCGGCCCCGTAAGGCCCCGTCAAGCCCCGTTTGCGGCCCCGTCAGGCCCCGTTTGCGGACCCGTTCGGCCCCGTCAGGCCCCGTACGGCCCCGTCAGGCCCTGTTTGCGGCCCCGTTCGGCTCCGTCAGGCCCCGTAAGGCCCCGTCAGGCCCCGTTTGCGGCCCCGTCAGGCCCCGTCAGGCCCCGTAAGGCCCCGTCCAGCCCCGTAAGGCCCCCCCAGTTTGCGGCCCCCGTTGCGGCGCGACTCGCGGCCCTGCCCCGACCCTGTCGCGGCCCTGTCCCGGCCCTACTGCGACCCAGCCCCGGCCCTACTTCGACCCTGTCGTGGCCCCGTCCCGGACCTGCCCCGACCCCGGCCCTGCCCCGACCCTGTCGCGGCCCCTCGTCGCGGCCCTGCCCCGGCCCTGTCGCGGCCCCGTCCCGGACCTGCCCCGACCCCAGCCCTGCCCCGACCCTGTCGCGGCCCTATCGCGGCCCTCCCCCTGCTATGCCCCGACCCTGCCCAGGCCCCGCCCTCCTCATGCCTGTCGTGGCGCACCAGGGGCCCGTGCACCGCCCCCCCCCCCTTTTCCCGTCGCCTTGCGTGGCGAGCGGGGGGGGGGGGGGGGGCGCGCAACCTGGGGGGGGCGCGCGTCGCCCCTTCTTCCGCCTGCTCTGGCGCCCTGGGAGGCCGCGCGTCGGCCCCCGTACTCCTCCCCCCCCCCCCCCCCCCCCCCTCAGGTCGCCTCAACAGGCGACGGGAGGGGCGACCTGGGGGGCCGCGCGTCGGAGCAGCCGCCCCTGGTGCAGCCGCCCCTGGAGCAGCCGCCCCTGGACCCAGAGCAGCCGCCCCTGGCCTCTGGAGCAGCCGCCCCGGGCCGCGCGTCGGAGCAGCCGCCCCTGGTGCAGCCGCCCCTGGAGCAGCCGCCCCTGGACCCAGAGCAGCCACCCCTGGCCCCTGGAGCAGCCGCCCCTGGCCCCTGGAGCAGCCGCCCCTGGTGCAGCCGCCCCTGGACCTCTGCAGCCGCCCCTGGAGCAGCCGCCCCTGGTGCAGCCGCCCCTGGAGCAGCCGCCCCTGGTGCAGCCGCCCCTGGACCTCTGCAGCCGCCCCTGGAGCAGCCGCCCCTGGTGCAGCCGCCCCTGGTGCAGCCGCCCCTGGAGCAGCCGCCCCTGGTGCAGCCGCCCCTGGAGCAGCCGCCCCTGGTGCAGCCGCCCCTAGACCTCTGCAGCCGCCCCTGGAGCAGCCGCCCCTGGTGCAGCCGCCCCTGGTGCAGCCGCCCCTGGTGCAGCCGCCCCTGGTGCAGCCGCCCCTGGTGCAGCCGCCCCGGGAGCAGCCGCCCCTGGTGCAGCCGCCCCTGGACCCCGCGCCGCCGCCCCTGGACCCGGTGCCGCCGCCTCCCTGTACTGCCCGTTGCTGCTCTCCCCCCCCCCCCCCCCGCCCCTTCTTCGTCTCCCTGCTGCGCGTGCAGCCGTGGTAAGGAGGGTATGGGGGTGGCGGGTATGGGGGTGATGGGTGGTATGTTTCCCTTCCCCTCCTCCTCCTTTGTCTCCCACTGCTGCAGCTGCCGCTGAGGGGGGTGGATGTGTGGGAGCCAAAGGCGTGGTGCTAGGGGGTGGGGTGTGAGTGAACCTAGGGGTGCAGCAGGGGGTGTGTGAATGGGGGGTGCGGCAGTAGAGGGAGGTTGGGTGGAGGTAGCTGTCTTGTCGTCCGCAGCACCTGTAGTCCGGGGCGCTGTCCTGGTAGCCCAGTCGTAGCCAGCTGCGCCAGTCGCCCGTGGGTCCGTTGCTCCTGCCGCTCGTCTTAGCCGCGGAGCCAGTTACTCCTGTAGTCCGGGGCGCTGTTCCGGTAGCCACTGTGCCAGTGTGACTCCTGTTGCCCGTGTGTCTGCAGCTTCAGCCGTCGCCTCCTATCTCCTCTCCTCTTACAGTCCCGCCTCCTCCTCCTCACTTGCCCTCTGTGATAGCCTCTAGCTTTACTTATTTATTGTGAATTTTAAACTGTTACTTCTTGTACTTGTGCTCAGAATGTGTGGTGACATTGTGATCCACCCTGAGCTTGCTTTGCTTTGCTTCTTGTGCTGATCATACCCCACTTTGACTATGGGGGTGTGTCAGAATATCATGTTTCTCTAGTCTGCAGTGGGGTACTCAATAGTGAGTACAACCCTGTTAGGGTTTCCTATATGTACTCCATTGCTTTCTAGTGCATTCATTCTCTCGTTCATTCTCACAAGAGGTCCACTGGTGATCCCCCGATTGATGCTAGGAAAGGGTTACAGACACGTTGGCCTAGAGGGTTATGTGCGCACTCACCCGCTGTACAAACAAGCCATTTTATCCCAGTGGTTAGTGGTCGGGATTCTGACATGAGGCTCCTCGTATCGCCTTCGACTTTCCGATTGCCAAACCTGAACCGAACCTCATTTCCCGAGGTTCCCTCCTAGCTAGGGTAGTCACTATATAATTGCATGCCTTCATTATATTGTCAGTTCATCAAGTCACATCTTCGTTATTCGTTATCTTGCGCTCTCCCTTTTACAACTCGTAACAACTACCATATAGGTTTCATGAATATTTTATGCTCCACAACCTCTTCGGATTTCTTTAGCAGTACTACTGGTACTAAACTGACCATCCTTCTTCAACCGAGATTCCTTATTGCGTATGAGCCACCCATTCCTTTTTCCTACCCCGACCAATCCAGGGCGGCATTCACGGCTGACTGCCAGCCATTCCCGAATTCACCTATGGCTTTCCTCCCTCAAAATTAGTCCAGCGTAATCCGTCGCATCGCATCTCGTCATGGAGCAGATTCCCGCCGTCGCCAGCACGTCCGCCGAGGCGATGTATCGCGATGTCGTGCATCGCCGCTGGGCGCGCGCCTTTCTCTTCCACCTGCTCTCCATCGGCCCCTTCCTCTTCCTCTGGGCCGCGCCGCTCGTCGTCCGCGCGGGCCTCCTCCCATCGCTCCTCTCCTTCTTCTCGCTGCGCCTTTACCTCGCTTTCGCGATTTTGATCTTTCGCAACTTCTTTTCGTTCTAGCTCACCACGCCATCGTCGTCGCAGACGCCCCTCCCCTCCCCTCCACTGCCTCCCTCCTCTCTTCCGCCGCGAATCTCGCCGGATTTGCCGGCATATCAGATCCACGCCCGTTCGTGCACCAAGACCAACAGATTCGCGCATCGCACGACGGGTTTCGCGGGCCCGCCAGCCAATGGGAGGCGGAAGCGGCTCGGGCGACGCTAGCTGGCCGCGCCAAGTTCGCTTCTCTTTGCGCCGCGGCGGGCGCCGCAGGTGCGATCGCGCTCTCGCTCTTCCGCGCGCAGCTTCTGGGCAGCACGGCGGAGACCGAATCCAACGACGAGTGGCGGCCAGACGGTTGGGCCGTGGCGGGCGAGGCGGGATTCGGCGGCGCGGTGGGGGTGCTGTTCGCGGCGTACCACGTGGTGCGGCGCGACTACCTCCTCGCGTTCCCCGTGCTGCAGGTGCGCCGCGCAGCTGCGCTCCACCCCGCCCACGTGTAGGTCTCTTCCACAAATGCGCCTTCATTCAATTGCCGCAGCTGCCGTGGTGCACGGCTACAAGGCGAGGGCAGCTGAGAGTTGGGAGTTGGCGCGGCAGTGCTGCACTCCATGACTCACCTCTCTATGCCTGTCTAAACCCACAACCCTATTGCCGCCCTCTCTATGCCATCCCCCATACCCCTTACAGCGCGCCCCGTTCTACCGATTCAAGACGACCCTCCCGCGCTGCGCCACGTCAGCAGCCACATTCGGGTGCATCACCGCGCTCCTCTACTCCCTCCTGCTCCGCCCGCTCCTGCTGCCGCTCCTCGCCACCGCCACCACCACCGCCACCGGCATCCCGCTCACCTTCCTCGCCGCCCCGCCTCTCTCCATCCGCGCACTGCTGCTCTCTCTGCTGGCCCGCCTGCACGGCGTGGCGTTCCTGGCCTTCTCCTGGGAGGCCGCTGCGGCCGCCACGAACATCTTCCTCACCCACCACCACCTCTTCCTCCCCGCGCCCTCCTCCCCCTCCTCCCCCCTCGCCCCCCTCCTCCTCGCCCTCTCCCCCTCCCCTGGCCCCGCAACTCCTCCATCCCCTGTCCCCCTGCCCCTCCTCGCCCTGCCCCGCCTCGTGCTCCACTGGGCGCTGCTCGACCTCTCGCTGCTCGCCGAATCAGAGGCTGACACGTGGCGCCGCGCGGCGCTGTTTGAGTCGCAGGAGGCGTACAGCGCAGTGGTGGCGGCGTGCATCCGCCCCATCGATGCCATGACGGCCCGAGTCGCTGCTGCTGCTGGTTATCCCACCGTTACCACTGCACTGCAGCAGCAGCAGCAGCAGCATTATTCCTTACAGTCACCCACGGCTGCATTCACAGCAGCCGGGTTTGCCTCTGCTGAAGGGATGAGATGGCGGCAGGGGAAGGGCGGAGGGGAGGGGGTGGAGGGGCAGGCGCTGCAAGGGGGAGAGGTCTTGGGAAGCGGCGCATATGGGGGGTTCGGGGGGCCAGGGGGGAGTGGAATGGGCGTGGGGGGCGTGGAGGGGAGGAGGAGAGCGCCCAGCGCAGCTGAGGTGTTCTTTGACTGGCAGGTGAGCGGGCGGCAGGTGAGCGGGCGGCAGGTGAGCGGGCGGCAGGTGAGCGGGCGGCAGGTGAGCGGGCGGCAGGTGAGCGGGCGGCAGGTGAGAGGGCGGCAGGTGAGAGGGCAGCAGGTGGGGTGATGGCAGGTGGGGTGATGGCAGGTGGGGTGATGGCAGGTGGGGTGATGGCAGGTGGGGTGGCGGCCGAGGTGGCCCAAATGCCACACCATGGCAAGTCATGCGATGCCTTGCCATGCCATGAGATGTCATCGCAATCACACCTCGTGTTGCGTCACATGCATGGGTTTCTGCACGTGGCGCAAAATGGCTCCTGATACCTCCAACCGCCACAGCTGCTGTCCCTCCCCCTTTCCTCTCCGCCATGCTCGACCCGTGAACCCCCGACTCTCCGATCCACTTCCTCCATACCCCTCCACGTCTCTCCCCGCACACCTGCTGTGTGTCATGAGCATGCGCGCGCTGGCAGCGCTGACAGCAGCGTCGCGGGGGGAGGACCGCATGGGCGTGGCGCAGATGGCGGGCGCCAACGCCGCGGCGCTTTCCGCGCTGCTCTCTGCACTGCTCGCCCTTGACTCGCTCCTCCTCTCCCCCTCCCACCGCCACCCCGCCGCCCCCGCCACCTTCTCTGGCTTTGGGGAAGCTTCCTCGCAAGCGACTCCTCCAGGTGCCTCTCAACCTGCCTTCTCCCACCAGACCTCGGTTCTAGCTTCAGGAAGCGGGGGATTATTTGGCACACCGACCCTCGGTCTTAGGTATGGAGGTGCTGCAGCAGGTGGTTCGGACGTACCAGGCGAGGGAGCAGGGGGCGGGGCGGTGGGGAGAGCTGTGTACAGCGAGGGGGTGGTGGGGCCGGTGTGGGGCGAGGCATGGGCCATGGCGGATGTGGTGCGCACCTCTCTGTATTGCATTGCAGAGACGTTTGGGGAGGAGATGGTGGAGAAGGCGGGTGGAGGGATGGGAGGAGGGAGGGGGGGGAAGAGGAGGCGGTGGGGCAGGTGCTTGGAGGGTGGATGAGGCGTGGTTGCCTGGGGACATGCGACCCTTGTTTGGTTCGAGAGAAGCTCATGCAGCCAAGGTGCTGTCGCTGCTGGCACACACTGAGTAGCGTGGTACAGTACAAGGCAGTGCTGTTTTGTGCAGTTGTTGATTCATCATGAAGGCATGTGCTTACATGATAATCTGTGTGCAGAATGAGCAGCTGAGTGTACCATTATTTGCAATGATGGAATCCTGCACATCTTGTGGATGTGTATTCCGCCCACATATGATGTGAGCAGTTGACATGTGAGCAGTTTTGACATGTGAGCAGTTGACATGTGAGCAGTTGACATGTGAGCAGTTGACATGTGAGCAGTTGACATGTGAGCAGTTGACATGTGAGCAGTTGACATGTGAGCAGTTAGACATGTGAGCAGTTGACATGTGAGCAGTTGACATGTGAGCAGTTGACATGTGAGCAGTTGACATGTGAGCAGTTGACATGTGAAAACAAGTTCATTACGCAGTAACGCTGGTACCGTATTCACAATATGGACAAACATGGCAAGCATGCTCCTACAACCATCTAACTTCGGCAGTCCATATCCACACCTCCATCAAAAGCACCGTCTTCCTCATATTTCCCTCTCTCCGCCACACTGCTATGCGCCCGCCACATGCGCCTTGGGAGGGGCCTCACCCCCATGCCCCACCTCCTTCGCCCCTCCCCCCACCTCCTTCGCCCCTCCCCCCACCTCCTTCGCCCCTCCCCCCACCTCCTTCGCTCCTCCCCCCACCTCCTTCGCCCCTCCCCCCACCTCCTTCGCCCCTCCCCCCACCTCCTTCACCCCTCCCCCCACCTCCTTCGCCCCTCCCCCCACCTCCTTCGCCCCTCCCCCCACCTCCTTCGCCCCTCCCCCCACCTCCTTCGCCCCTCCCCCCACCTCCTTCGCCCCTCCCCCACCTCCTTCGCCCCTCCCCCCACCTCCTTCCCTCCACCCCTAGCTTCAGACTCAACCTCACCTTCTCCCTTCACTTCCCCCGTGGCTTCTCCCTTCCCCTCGCCCTCCTCTACCCCCTGGGGCCCCTTCCAGCCGCTCTCCTGCAGCCACTGGCGCCACGTCTTGAGGTGCGGGTTGCAGCGCCGCGCATTGCTGATGTCATGACAGCCGAAGTACGTGTGCTGGGAGAACCAGCGGAACATCTGCTCAGGAGGCACAGGAAGGCGGACGGACAAGTGAGAGGGAGCGTGGCATGGCAGCACCCCAGGGGCGCACAAAGGAAACACTCCAACCGTTCCTTCTTCGCCACCCCAGCCTGTCCCCTGAAGCCACACAATGCAGAGTGCGTGCGTCCCTCACCATTCACCCCTCACCTCCCTCCCCCCTCACCTGCGTCCACTCGTCAGAGGCCGCCTTCTCAGTGGTGTGCAGGCGGGCGGGGCGGCCCGTGACGCGGTGGAAGTCGGAGACGTACTGGTGCAGGGGGGCGTGGTAGCCCGCTAGACACATGTACTCGCCCTGCCAGCACGCATGCATCCAGGGGCGCAGCAGAGGCAGCGGGAATGGGAGAGGGTGAGGGGGAGGAGTGAGCAGAGCAAGAACACAGGGGTCAACTCATGGGGGGTAAGCACACGCAGTCAGCACCCACAGCGCAAGCAATCCACTTGGTTTTCCAGTAGAGCCCGGACGGGGCGAAAGCACCTGCCATGGCAGCAACAGCGTTGCATGTGGCGATGCAGGCAGCAGAGGGCGCACTCACATCCCAGTCATGGGGGTGGTCGAGGGCGTTGAGCACGGCAGCACCGGTGTCGTCCACATCGAAGGCCGTGAGCATGTCGTCTGCTGCCATGGGCAGCTCAAACACCACCGTGCCATCCGCCTCCTCCCTGCACTGCACAGCGTACAGTGGATTGTAAAGCCACATGCTTGTTGTCTCTCCTTCACAGGTTGAATGAAGCCACATGCATTAAGCAGACGGCAACAAGCGCAAGACAAGGCGCGCATGGGCGCACCTGGCGAGGTTGAAGTGGGCGAAGTTCTGGTAATAGAAGGCACACATGACGAATGTGTGGTGCTTGAAGCCGCTCGCCCTCACCACCTCCTCCACCTGCAGCGCCATGGGGGGGAAACGGCACAGTGACGGCCAAGAGGTGCGTGCGAGCTGAGGCGAAACACTCGGGGAACTGATAATAAGGCGCCCATGGCGTGGTAAGGCAGCAATGAGTGGGAGGCAGCGGCAGAGCAGGGAGAGGAAGAGAGTGTGCGGGAGGCGCCGACCTTGGCCTTGTTGGTGAAGTGCGGCACGTTGAGTTGGCCCTTGGAGAGGCGGTGCACGTGGGGCAGTGTGCTCCACACCACGTGCTGCACGCCCGCCCCCCTCGCCTCCTCCACCACTCCCTTCCCCACCTCCACCTCGCGCTCTCCCAGCGAGTAGAAGTCCGTCACCTGCCCAGCAGAGGGAAGGGGAGAGAGCGAGGAGAGAGCAGGGAGAGAGCAGGAGAGAACAGGGAGAGAGCAGGGAGAGAGCGAGAGGAGAAGGGGCGGGGTGTGGTTGGCGAGGTTGGAAGTGATGGTGCCAAGAGAGGGCACAATGCCAAGAGAGGGCACAATGCCAAGAGAGGGCACAATGCCAAGAGAGGGCACAATGCCAAGAGAGGGCACAATGCCAAGAGAGGGCACAATGCCAAGAGAGGGCACAATGCCAAGAGAGGGCACAATGCTAAGAGAGGGCACAATGCCAAAAGAGGGCACACGCAATGCAGATGTGGCGGCGCCCGTTGCAAGGCGCAGAGCAGTGGACGGGATGCGCAGAGCAGTTGACGGGATGCGCAGAGCAAGACAGGGCAGTGAAAGACGTGGTGAACATCAGGAGAGAGTAGCTGGCGCGGGGAGTGGTGTGGTGAAGCAGTTTTGAAGAGACATGCGAAATAGAGCAAAGCATGGCTATGGGAGGCTGCCCAACAACATGCGACTGAGGTGAGCCTTGTACGCGCTACACGCGCTGCTGCCCGCACCGCACGGCACTCACCACGAACGCGCCATAAGCACCCTCCAGCGCCGCGCGCACGGCCTGGCGGTCCGCCTGGTCGGCCTGTGCCACTTCCACCTTGGCGTCCCTCAGATGGGCGGCACGCGGCGAGTCCGCGTGGCGCGTGACGGCGCGGATGCGGTAGCGCCCGCTCGCCAGCAGCGCCGCCACCACGCTGCTGCCCTGCGCGCCTGGTGGCCGGGAGAGGGGAAGGTGGGGATGGCAGGGAGGGCGGGAAAGGATTGCGTGCAAGGAGAGGAGTTAGAAAGACGGACATACGTGAGCGTAAGTAGCGCGGAGAGGCGCGGAGAGGCGCGGAGAGGCTCACCGGTGGCCCCGAAGACGACGATGAGCGGCTTGTCCGGCGCGGTGTGCGGCTCGCCAGAGCGCACTGTGAGTCGGCGGAGGGACGACGTGAGATGCCCCCACATGCTGCCGTGCTGCTGTCGCGACACTCGATGCGACGATTGCGACTATGCGATGAGCGAAGAGCGGGCTGACGGAGGAACGGCACGAGACGGACCGGTGAAGGGCGCGGCGAGTGTGGCGATGACCAAGGAACTCGGTGAGCGCAAGTGAACTGACGCGATAAACAGGGGCCCGCTCGAGAGGCTAAGGACTTGCAGGCGAGTGGGAGGGAGAGCAGCGGAAGGAGTGGGAGGGACTGCCTCGCGGCGCTTCAGTCGAGCGCGTCGTCACCATTGCGGAGGCGCGCAGCATTCGACAGCGACAACGACAGTCCACACTCGTCGACATTGAGAGGCAGCACTACATCACTCGACATTCCTCGTGAAAGTAACGGCGCAGCGCGCCAGGCACTCGCGGCGATTCGGCAATGTGCATTGCATGCGCGGCGTGCGGGTGCATGCGCGGCGTGCGGGTGCATGCACGAGAGGGAGCCGCGTCGGGTGTCTCCATGCGAGCGAGCCCTGCTTGCGTGGCGATTCGCAGCAACGCCGTGGTGTGACGAACGCCAGTCGCTGTGGTGCGCATCTCGCGGGCAAGGAGTGCGCCACGACTAGCATGACAGTAGGGCGAATTGGGCAAGTGCTACGATAAAGGACGTGCATGGGTCTGCCGCAGGAGGCCACTCAACATAGGGCGGCTCACCTCACATTTGTCCACCGTTAATAATGAATTTCCATACTCAATGTGAAGCTTTTGTATGATTTTTCATACTCTAGGTAATAGATAAGAGTATGGCTGGTCAGACCCGCAATGTTACCGTATGAATGAACTTTCAGAATGCGCAGAATAACGAATAACGAGAATTTGAAATTACAGAATGACGATACATCAAAAGTGACGGGATTAAATGGGGGGATCCTAGCTAGGCAAGGAGATTGGGCGAAGGTGGGTCCGGAGGGTTGCAATCGGTGCGGGGGCGACTCGGGAGTGGTTCAGTGCGGGAATGTTGGCCAAACGTGTTGATGCGATCCCCTCAGAATCGTACCCGCTGAAGGGCGAGTACAGTAAGGAATTGTAATGCCGTACCAGGCCCTCAGATATCAGCGTAAAACACGCTGATTAGGCTGATTTTGTAGCTGTGATTTTCGTTTTCCCTGGAAATTCAGCATATGCTTCAATTTTGCACTGAAATTTCAGTATAAACTACCTTGCCACACTGACCATTTTCCGTGTTGCTGTAGAAGTAACACTGACGAATCAGTGTAGTGTCGTGAGTCACACTGAAACGGACTTGACCGATTCGGGGGGGGGGGGGGGGGGTACGCGTGTGTATAGTATGTACCTGGCCCGGGATTCACGAGACCCCACCCACACACTTGGAGATGCCATGCGCTATACAGCAGATCGCGTGCCGACATGCTTTGCATCGCTGGAAGGAACTCTCACAGCGGCAAACTTTGAGTTGAATTGGTGATTCAACTTTGTTTTTCTTTTTTACACTGATGGTTCAGTCTACTTATGATTTTTACACTGGCAAAATCAGTATAAAAAAAAACCATGAACGCTGATTTGGACACCTGGGCGGCCGGGGCACGCTGATCGATCAGCATACCCTCAAACCAATCTGAGGGCCTGTGCCGTACATCCTCTTAAAATATCCTAGGAGGGAATAGTCTGTCAGAACTAAGAGCACGAATGAATGAACTAAGAGAGTGTTGGGTACAAATAAAAACCCTAAAGGGGTTGTACCCCACGTTGGCTACCCCACTACAGCCTACACAACATAAGTAGCAGTATAGTTTGACACATCCCCATAGGCAAAATGGAGGGGAACAAGGGGTCACAAGATCAGTCAAGAAAAGCAATGCAAGCTCAGGGTGGATCACAAAGTCACCACATATTTTGAGCACAAGCAAATGGCCACAAGGCCAGTTCACATGCAGAGGTATATATGTAATAACAACAGTACAGTGATCTGTCAGAGGTCCACTGATGATCCCCGATTGATCCTAGGGAAGGGTTACAGGCATGTTGGCCTGGGGGGTTATGGGCGCACTGACCCGCTACTTAACAAGCCCTTTTATCTCAATGGTCTAATGGTTGGGATTCTGACATGGTATCAGAGCGAAGGTCTCGGGTTCGAATCCCAGTGTATGCACTTCGGGCATCCCAGTGCGGGGGGGGTGTCAGAGGTCCACTGGTGATCCCTGATTGATCCTAGGGAAGGGTTACAGGCATGTTGGCCTGGGGGGTTATTGGCGCACTGACCCGCTACTTAACAAGCCCTTTTATCCCAATGGTCTAGTGGTTGGGATTCTGACATGATCACTACCTAGCAAGAGTGAGAATACAGGTAGATATAGAAGAAGATCACAGTACAAGCAAAGTCTACAGCAAGTGAGGACACGAAGGCACCAGTCCTAGAGCAGTGCAGAAGCGCTGATGATCACCAGCCGTAAGGGCCTTGGTGAACACATCAGCCGTGTTGGCCCGGGTGGGCACGTGAGCGACACGAAGCTGACCACG